TCTCTGCTCCTATGATGCTGCTTGGCCTGCTGTGTTCATCCAGCCCTGCACCTTGTTGTCTTGGATTCTCCAGCATCTGCAGTCCCTACTATCTCTGAGTAATTTCTCCTCATCTGTTTTAAACTTGCTACCCTTATCCTAAAACTGTGACCTCTGATTCCAGATTCTCCAACTGAAGAAATATCCTTTCTATTAATACTTTGTAAATCTCGTTTAGCATCTTTTATACCTCAGTTTGACCTCCTCTTATTCTAAACTCCACACAGTATAGGTCTAAGTTGTTCAATCTCTCTTCGTAAGACTAAGATTGTGTGTACACCCCACAGTTCTCCCGTTTCTGCACTTCCTTTAAATTTATACCATTTATTACATCTTGCCTCATGAATTATCAGAAAATCAGACCCTTAGAGCACAGAGGCTATATTTTAATTATTATAATTATTAAACTTAATTCCAGTTATAATAGAACTGTAAAGTATAGGAATAAGGATTCAAATTGGATTTTGAGAAAGTACATTAAAGTCCATCAGGTCTGTGCTGCCTCTAAGATCTGTACTTTAGTCTCTAAAATAATATTTGGTTCCAAGAATTTTTTGAATTGATAACAAGCAGGTAAGGGGAAAATGGTACTTTTTAGTTTTTGTGTGATGTGGGTGTCACTCGCTGGCCAGCATTTATTGCCCATCCCTAGTTGCCCTTGAGAAAGTGGTGGTGAGCTTCCTTCTTGAACCACTGCAGCCCACCTGCTGTGGGTTGACCCATAATGCTCTAAGGGAGGGAATTCTAGGATTTTGACCCAGGAACAATGAAGGAATGGTGATATATTTCCAAGTCAGGATGGTGAGTGGCTTGGAGGGGAACTTAAAAGTGGTGGTGTTCCCATATATCTGCTGCCTTTGTCCTTCTAGATGGAAGTGGTTGTGGGTTTGAAAGGTGCTGTCTGAGGATCTTTGAACAATGGTGATGGTGGGAGTAGATGCTTGTGGATGTAGTGCCAATCCAGCGGGCTGCTTTGTCCTGGATGGTGTCTTGTGCCTGACTTGTGCCTTGTAGATGATGGACAGGCTTTGGGGAGTCAGGAGGTGAGTTACTTGCTGCAGTATTCCAAGCTTCTGACCTGCACTTGTAGCCAAAGTGTCTATGTGGTGAGTCCAGTTGAGTTTCTGGTCAATGGCAACCCCCAGGATGTTGATAGTGGGGGATTCAGTGATGGTAACACCATTGACTGTCAAGGGGTGGTGGTTAGATTGTCTCTTATTGGTGATGGTCGTAGCCTGGTATTTGTGTGGTGCAGATGTCACTTGCCACTTGTCAGCCCAAGCCTGGATATTGTCCAGATCTTGTTGCATTTGAACATGGACTGCTTCAGTATCTTACGACTCGCGAATGGTGCAATCATCAGCGAACATCCCCACTTCTGACCTTATGATGGAGGGAGGGTCATTGATGAAACAGCTGAAGATGGTTGGGCCTCGGACACTACCCTGAGGAACTCCTGCAGAGGTGTCCTGGAGCTGAGATGATTGGCCTCCAACAACCACGACCACCTTCCCATGTGTCAGGTATGACTCCAACCACCGGAGAGTTTGCCCCCTGTTACCCATTGAATCCAGTTTTGCTAGGGCCCCTTGATGCCACACTCGGTTGAATATAGCCTTGATGTCAAGGGCTATCACTCTCACCTCACCTCTGAAATTCAGCTCTTTTGTCCATGTTTGAACCAAGGCTGTAATGAGGTCAGGAGCTGAATGGCTCTTGTGGAACCCAAACTGGGCATCACTGAGCAGGTTATTGCTGAGATGTGCTGCTCAATAGCACTGTTACTGACACCTTCCATCACTTTACTGATGATCAAGAGTAGACTGATAGGGTGGTAATTGGCCAGGTTGGATTTGTCCTGCTTTCTCTGTATAGGACATATCTGGGCAATTTTCCACATTGCTGGTAGATACTAGTGTTGTAACTGTACTGGAACAGCTTGCCTCTGGGAGTCGCAAGTTCTGGAGCACAAGACTTCAGTACTATTGCCGGAATGTTGTCAGAGCCCATAGCCTTTGTAGTATCCAGTGTCTCCAACCATTTGTTGATGTCATGTGGAGTGAATCGAATTGGCTGAAGACTGGTATCTGCAATGCTGGGGACCACTGGAGGAGGCCAAGATGGATCATCCACTCGGCACTTCTGACTGAAGATTGCTGCAAATGCTTCAACCTTATCTTTTGCACTGATGTGCTGGGCTCTTCCATCATTGAGGATGGGAATATTTGTGGAGCCTCCTCCTCCAGTGAGTTGTTTAATTGTCCACCACCATTCACAACTGGATGTGGCAGGACTGCAGAGCTCAGATCTGATCTGTTGATTGTGGATCGCTTAGCTCTGTCTATCACTTGCTGTTTTCACTGTTTGGCGCGCAAGTAGTCCTGTATGATGGCTTCACTAGGTTGACACCTTATCTTCAGATATGCCTGGTGCTGCTCCTGGCATGCCCTCCTGCGCTCTCCATTGAACTAAGGTTAACCTCCTGGCTTGATGGTAATGGTTGAGAGGGGGATATGCTGGGTTGTGAGGTTACAGATTGTGCTGGAGTACAGTTCTGCTGCTGTCGATGGCCCACAGTGCCTCATAGATGCCCAGCCTTGAGTTGCTAGATCTGTGCGAAGTCTGTCCCATTTAGCACAGTGATGGTGCCACACAACACGATGGAGGTTGTTCTCAATGTGAAGACGGGAGTTCGTCTCCACAAGGACTGTGAGCTGGTCACTCTGACCGATACTGGCATGGACAGATACAACTGCAGCTGGCAGATTGGTAAGAATGAGGTCAAATCTGTTTTTCCCTCTTGTTGGTTCCCTCACCACCTGCTGTAGACCCAGTCTAGCAGCTTAATCTGTAGTACTGCTGCTGAGTCACTCTTGGTGGTGGACATCAGAGTATATTCTGTGCCCTTGCCATCCTCAGTGCTTCATCCAAGTGTTTTTCGACATGGAGGAGTACTGATTCATCAGATGAGGGAGGACGGTATATGGTAATCAGCAGGAGGTTTCCTTGCCCATGTTTAACCTGAAGCCATGACACTTCATAGGGTCCAGAGCCAATGTTGAGGACTCTTAGAGCTACACCCTCCCAACTGTATACCGCTGTGCTGCCACCTCTGCTGCATCTATTCTGCTGGTTAAACAGGACATATCTAGGGATGGTGATGGTGGCACCTCAGACATTGTCTGTAAGGTATGATTCTGTGAGTATAACTATGTCAGGCTGATGCTTAACTATTCTGTGAGACAGTTCTCCCAATTTTGGCAGTAGCCCCCAGATGTTAGTAAGGAGGACTTTGCAGGGTCGACAGGGCTGTTTCTGCCATTGTCTTTTCCAGTGCCTAGATCGATGCCAGGTGATCCGTCCAGTTTCATTTGTTTGAGACTTTGTAGCAATTGGTACAACTGAATAGCTTACTAGACCATTTCAGAGGGCAATTGAGAGTCAACCACATTGCTATAGGTCCGCAGTCACAGGTAGGCCAGACCAGATGAGGATGGCAGATATTAGTGAACCAGAAGGGTTTTTCTGGCAATCGAAAATGATTTCATGGTGATCAGTAGATTCTTAACTCCAGATTTTTTAATTATTGAATTCAAATGCCACCATCTGCCGCGCTGCTCCAAAAGCTTCTGATTTCATATAAACGTGTTGGACTATGACCTGGTATCTTGTGACTTCTGACTCTAGATGATGGAATGTCACAAGGTGCAATACAGAAACATTATAAAACTAAATGTGATACCTGCCATATAAGGATGTTACAGCGGATGCCATCATCTGGAGTGAGTTGGACAGCCTTTCTGACAAAAAGCATGACATTGTGTGGATGCAGTTTACATTTTCTAGATGAAGAAAGTGAATGTACAACAGCTACGCTTGCTGTAGGTGGGCCCTCAAATGGTGAGGATGACACCAAGTCTGCAAATGGTAGAGATGGGTCTAGCGAGTGAGTAAAAACTTGACAAATGGAATATTATATAGAAAAATATGATGTTATGTATGTTGGCAGGACTAATAGAGGAGCTGATTATTATTTAAATGGAGAAAAACTGCAGAAAGCTGTAGCACAGAGTGATTTGGGAGTCTTCATGCAAAAATCAGCTAAAGCTAGCATACACATTCAACAGATAACAGGGAAAGAAGATGGAATGTTGGCTCTTATTGCAAAGAGAATGCCAAATTAATGCACGGAGGTCTTGCTAAAACTTTACAAGTGTCTTGGATCACAGCGTGTATCCAAGCAGTTCTTTTGGATTTGGTTAAATATAATTGAGAGAAGACTCGGCAACAGCAATTTGCTTAAATATGAATGTTTATGAAGTAGTAATAATGATTATAGTGATAATAATAAATGGAAAAGGCCTAGGCCCGAAACGTCAGCCGTCCTGCTCCTTTGATGCTGCTTGGCCTGCTGTGTTCATCCAGCTTTACATCTTGTTATCTAAGTCTC